TGTGTGTGTGTGTGTGTGTGTGTGAGAGAGAGAGAGAGAGAGAATAAATGGTTAAATAACTTAAATTGTTTTTTTTGGAGATATAATTACAAGTCCCTAAAGTGAAAATCGTGAAATTTTATTATAATAACACGGATTAGAATGATTTTAAATTACGCACGCAATCTTTAAGGATTTAACCCACATTTCTATTGTCTATATTTTGTAACAATAGTATAAGAAAGAAAAGAGGGTTGCTATTCATTGGATCTTTCTATTACTTTGAGAGGAGAATTGTTGGTTTGATCGACGGACAACTACTTAAGTCGAAATGTGCCATTCACTCTAGTAGCTTAGACCACAGTTGAACGTGGCTCATTTGACGACTCAATACACGGATGTCACGAGTCCACTGGCATAGAATATGGAATCTTTTCCATGTAAGATGGTTGTACAAAGCTTGTTTGTTCATATAGGTAGTGTGATCCCTCTCACTTACATATACCTAGTTCTTACCCTTATCTCACCACTATACTCCGTATAGGATAGGTATGAATAGAATTCACCAAAAGAAAATAATCAAATTGTTAAAATGTATTTAATTTGAATACTTTGAAATCAAATCATTTTACTTCTTTTATAGGTATAAAATCTACTCCATCTCTTATTGCTCTACTCTATGTCTCTATTGAGTTTTTAATTAAATTCATAACCTCATGTCTTATTAAAAAAATGGTTTCCACTTATGGCAAATTACATGAAAAAGTAATTTCAAAACCTCTATTTTGATACTTAAGATGTAAAATTTTAAACATTTAAGTACCCGAGTAACCGATTGAAGACTAATTTTAGATTAATAAAATCCATGTCACAAACAACGTAATAATACTGAGTTAGATACCACATCACTCGTCACGTCAGCATGATAACCGGTTAATGCTTCAACCGGTTACCCGGATACTTAAATGTTTAAAACTTTACATCTTAGGTATCAAAATGGAAGTTTTGGAAGTACGTTACCCAAAATAGGAATCAAGTTAAAGTACGTTACTTTTTCATGCAATTTGCTCTTTTACTTATAAAAAAAGTCATAGATTTAATTAAGAATTTCATTTAAGATTTTATAACTAAAAAACCCAACACTTTAATAGTGTATGCATAATATTTTGTAAGTACTAGTAAGTTCAGTAGTTTTATCCATATATTTTTATAAGATAACATAGAACTTAATAAAAATGTAACATTGTGAACTAAGTTGCAATGTTTTTGTCTATTTTGAGCAATTCAATTTGGGCCTTTAGCCCATTTGAACAACCCCCTTATTCCATTATTAGTTATACTTATGAGTTATGACTTATGAATGTGTAGTTTGGATTTTGGACCATCTTTTTATTTTCACAGAACTCAACGCTCGCGAGTCCCGTTTTTCTTTTCTTTGAGTACATAATATTTATATGGTAAATGAGACAAATAAACTCACATATCCTTCTCATATTTTGGTAAGGCTTGAATATTTGACCTATTAGGAGACCAAATGTTGTGATTAATGCTTGCGAATCCTTTTGGAAGTTACAAACTTACAATAATCGGTTCATTTGATGAAGTAAATTCGAAGTCATAACAACAACTTCGGAACACAAATTTAAACATTTCTTATAGAACAAAAAATGATCAACAAAAATCGGGTTTTGATGGGTTTTGGATTTTAACGGGGTTCAATAAAAAGGGTTTGAAGATGAAAACTTTTTAAACTTAACAAATGGAGTTTTGTAATATCAATATTTGACTTGACCCGACTTGCTAACGCATCATAGAAATAAGATGTGATCTATTATTTTTGTTTGTCATCTGGTCTAAATTTTTTTGACCATTTGAATAGTTTTCGACTTTGGTTGAAGAAAATCATATTATGAAGTTGCAAAACAACCACACATAGATTCTTGTCACACTAATTTTTTGGCGAATTAGAACAATAACAAAGGTGTTATTTAATTTATATTAGAATCAAATCAAATCATACATTAAGAATATAAAATAAAAGTATTGATGTTAATGTGTGTGAGGAATTTAATAAATAGGGGTACATTTAGCCTACCCTAATTTTGAAGGGTGGGCTGACATGTTGTAGCATCCAATTTTTAATATGCCTAATTATTTGCTTAGTATATTTAATTATTGGGTTAAAAAGAACTTATGATTTAGTGGGAGTTTGAGTCTGAAGTTTTAAAATTATATTTCTTAAGAATATATTAAAGGATTTGGAAAATATCACGTCAAATAGATACGTAAAACGGATTTTTTTGGAAGATCTTTTCTGGAATATTTTTGTTGGATATTATAGATTATCTCTTTATGAACGTGTAGGCGAAAACCTCATAGAAAACGGAGATCCGAGCAAAAAGTTATGAATAATTTAAGTGTTGATGGTCAAAATGGGTACCTAGCCGGGCCAACCCGCCCCAACTCGAGTCTTAGCATTATAAATTGGATTTTTTGCCCATTTTTTCATGTCATCTAAGTCCAGAACTCACACACACACTAGAGGTGCGATTTTACACACATAGGCTTGATTCAACTCAAATCAAAGAGAATTACAAGATTTTTGAAGGATTTGATCATCAAGTAAAGTATAATCCATTCTTTGCACTTGTTCTTGGTTGACATTCTTGTTATATAGATTGCATGTTGAGATAGAGTTAGGGTTTCATATGAGTTTGATTTTAAGTGTATAAAATGAGTGCTTTTTAGTGTTTATGGCTTGAAATGATCATTAGATTCAATAGATTATCAAGATTTAAGCAAGTTCATCATATGAACTTTGACTTGATTAAGTCAATAATTTGAGAGATAATATAAATGATAAAATAAAGGTTGTATTTTGGTTGTTTATGTCAAGTATGTTATATTAAGTTGAGATTCAGAAGTTGGAATGGTTTAGAGTCAAAATGGTTTGAGAAAAATGTATGAAAATGAGAATTTCGACTTAAGAATGCATTGAAAGTGTGCAGACTTTGAAAATCTGTATAAAATCGTAGAGAAATCCAAATGAGGTGAGGCCAATTTCCTTAGTTAGATAAATGAGTCTAGTTTATTTCTTATTTCATGATCAAGGCATGAATCTGAGTTTAAAGTGGGAAAAATAGTTCTGCATGCAGCAGCTGTACATAGAAATTTAGGTAAAATGTTCAAATAGGATATGTGTATATCATGAGTTTCTTGTATTGGTTGCTTATGAGATTTTGTACATTTACTCCAGGGGGTAATTAGGACATGTTTTGATACTTTTGAAGCAATCTAAGTGTGGTAGATTGGACTTGCTTTGTGAGCTCATTCGGAGCTTTTCGGTATTGTACGGTTGCCCAGTGAGTTATATAGTTAATGGTTACATATTGATTTGAACATATATATTTTCATATGAATGTTTTTGGTCTTGAATGGAGTCACACGATCTTGATTTGTCTTTGATTCCGTCTCTTGAGTCGATTCCATATTACTATCTCGGTACATCGGTTTGCTTTCCGGATCCGGACTTGTTGTTTTGTTCCTTGAATTGTACGTCATAGTACCAGTACTACTTCGTGTGGCACGCCGGAAGTTTATGGCGAAGTCAAGATCCCGGGTTGGACGGGTGAGACTTTCTGCGGTTGTGAATACTCATTGCTCAGAAAGGAGGAAGAGCAATGAGTAGGGAACCTTGACACATACCCGGTAGAGGAAGGCGGGCAGTGCGAGGTTTCCCGTAATGTATGATTCAGACTCGGACTTTGGCATGAGCCCGGAAGGTGAAGGACGGGGGGATGCACTGTCATCGTTATGTATACCGATTCGATCTCTTGGTTCTTGATATTTATTGGTATTCTAAAGTTGCTGAATATATTTGGTTGTTGATCATGTCTCCTTGTTGTATTGAGCATCAATGGTATGGTATACTATGGTGATTTGAATATGGAATCCTATGATCATAGCATCCGGTACATAATTGTTCACTCGGTTTCTTGTAAGTCTCGGTTTGCATCTGGATGATGTCTTGAACTCTTTTATTGATAAGAGTTTATTATGTATGTTTATAAACATGTGCGATATTGATATGTAATACTTAATTATTTAACTCACTAAGCGTTGGCTTACCATTTAAGTGGCAACCTCTCTCAGGAAAGAAGACGGATAAAAAGAAAGAACTCGTTGTCTGACTCGAAGATTTATCGGGGAACTTGAAGATTTCGATATTGCTTTTGGGTAAATAGTAGCTTATTACCGTATCTCATAGTTATAGTATGTGTAGCTTATATATAGTCATGTCCCGTATTCTTTTGCTACTTAATTCGGGTTGTAAGTAAAAATCTGTTATATCTGGTTTGGAATTATGTTTCAGGTGGTTTTATCAATAAAATAGAACGGATATTTCGAAGTTTTTCTAGAAAATTAATATCCTGTATTTTGAGGTTAATTGGCCTCTAGTCCTTCAAGGCCTCTGGTCCTTCAAGGCCTCTGGTCCTTCAAGGCCTCTGGTCCTTCATGACCTTTGATCCTTCATGGCCTCTGGACCTTCTTCGCCTCATGACCAATTCATCGCATCTGGTCTTCTTCTAGACTTAGTCATTTCAGCAGCCTCTGGTCCATCGCCTGCCTCTGGACCAATTCATTGCCTCTGGTCTTCCTCCAGACTTAGTCGTTTCAGCAGCATTTTCAGATTTTCCATCCTTGGCCCCGATTGCTTTGACAAAACTTTTAGAATAATTAAGATCAATTTTGGTCCCAATAATCAATAAATTATATTTTATTGAAGATTTTATAAAATTGGTAATTTGGGGTTTGCTCAAGCGAGGTGTTACACATGCAACCCTTATGTATTGCAAAATGCACCACTACTTACTAATTTATTTATTACATACATCAACATTAAGACTTATTTTTCACATCTTCAATGTATGTTTGACCTGATTCTAACACTGTGAAGAGATGCTCTAATAAAATAAAAACTAAAATGCAAATTTGGTCCTTGTGCTTTGTCAAAAGTAATATTTTTTTTGTTCGTACAGTTTTAAAATTACAAGATGACCATCATGATTTGTAGAAACTTCTGGATTTAGTTATTTCCTTTACAAGTCATTAAAAAAAATCTGTTAAATGAGACACATTTTTGTCTTTTTATTGAATTTTCAAATGTTTTACCCAATCAAAAACCACAAAACCAAAATCATAAAATCGATTCCGATTACGTAAAAGACAAAATAAATCGATAAAAAACGAAAATGCCCCTCAGTTAACATAATTTTTTATCAGTTGTTAGAGGAAAGAACCAAATATAAACGTTTTTACAAACCATGATACCTTCTTGTAATTTCGAAACAACAAAGATAAAAAGTGTTATTCTCGAAAAACCAAGTGACCAAATTTTTAGTTTGTAGGATTTGGACATTGAAGGATTCATTGGTGTACTTGGTTTGTAGGATTTGAAATTGAATTGGATTTTATTATTTATAAATAATTTATAAAAAATATTATAAAAATAATTGAATTACATTTTTATTAATTGATTATCAAAAAACAAATATTTTAAACAATTTTTAAAACCTTATTACATACAATCCTACAAAATCTCGAACATTCTTTAAGAATTTTAAAATCTTATATTTAAAAAATTTCAATGAAATTTTAAGATTTTAAATCTGGATAATCCAACCTACCAAACATATGATTAAAATGATTTAAAATACAAATTTCTTGATAAAATAAAAAAATAAGGCACCACGAGAGTTTGACAAGTGCTCTCAGTGGTCAGTCTACCGCAAATGAGAAAAGTATTTTATATTTTGGGAAAGCTAAGTACACTCTGTGTACCAAGTACCAACTACGCTGCTTTCACACTCTTGTGTCCCAACTCCCACGTATCATAATCCCCTCGGACCAGTTACCACTTATTACTTTCAGTCGACAAACTAATAACGCATGTCTTAGCGTATTTGTTTGTAGTTTTCTGCCGATTTCAACCTCCGTCGTAGTCTCGATCTCTAGATTGATTACTTGATTCAAACTAGCGATCTTTTAGTTTATCCGGCGGTGTTAAATCTTCTTCCGCCGTACTACGCACTTGTTTACTGTTGACGAATTCATTCGGAGTTCGGTGTTTGCTGGATGAATCGGAGGACCTTACTCGTTTAATCACTTTTGTGTTGAATAACCAATGATGATGTCAGGTGCGATTCTGTTTTTTGACCTATTAGTTGATTTATTCATTTTTTTTGTTGATGTGTCGCTAATTGTGGAGGATTTTTTTGTATTTGTATGCTTCGTTTAGGTTTCATCAATGTGATTTATATGTTGAGTAGATTAAAATTGTGTGTTGTACGTAAATGCATAATGTGAGTTCTTGTACTTGGTTCATGGATGGCTTATATTTGTTCACATTGTCAATCACACACTAAGTAGAAAAACTAAGTTGTTACTCCGGTTTTGTATGAATGAATCAGCAATCTGCCAAACGATTATGAAGAATGTGACAATTTCCGCTGCAATTATCAGTTTATCACTCACAAGTAGAAAAAGTAAGTTGTTACTTCGATTTTGTATGAATGAGTCAGCAATCTGCCAAACGATTGTGAAGAATGTAAGAATTTCGGCTGCAATTATCACACACAAGTAGAAAAACTAAGTTGTTACTTTGATTTTGTATGAATGAATCAGCAATCTGCCAAACGATTGTGAAGAATGTAACAATTGCCGCTGCAATTATCACACAAAAGTAGAAAAACTAAGTTGTTGCCTCGATTTTGTATGAATGAATCAGCAATCTGCCAAACGATAATGAAGAGTTTAACAATTTCCGCTGCAATTAGCACCATGATTGGTTGATTTGCTTGGGCTTACTTACATTTTATTGAAATTTGAGACAACAAGTTGTTCATATTAAGTAACAACTAGTTCAGTGAGCAATGTTTATATATTTGGAAAAATATCAGCATTTGTGGTGTTGGTGTAGAATCATAAAAGCTCTCTTTGTGATGTTTAATTAGTAACAAAAAAGAGTGGATAAACACATGAGACTGAAAGTAACTAGTAAGAATTAAGAAGGATTAAGAGATAAGACAGAGATTCTCAGTCAGACTTCCCTTTTTAAACAAGTATTATTTTTTAGTACCTGGGAGGGGGGACAAGCAATGAATCATGCAAATTTGTAAGGAAGTGACCAATAGGTCGCCACAGGTTGTTAATCATGTCAGCTGTTGCTGTGTCTCATCTTTTATGTGTAGAATATGCAGTTGCTTCTCCTCCACATATTTCAAGCATAACCATGTATTTTGCAGTAGTTTCCTGGACGGGTAGAATATTGCAGATAACCTTGTAAAGTATGTGCGAGATATTTTTGCAATTTAATGTCTGTTTCATCTTTGTAAGACTTTAAGATACAATTTATTGTCATAAGGAAGTTGATCATTGTTTCATGTGCTCTTTAGACTTCATCACACAAACAATATGAACATAAACATGCTGTGGCCGTCATATTGCTATTAATGTTACTTATTTATTTCAGTCATAGCTTTTGGGAACTATGATATACTATATAAACTGACCACCAAGTTTAAAGCTGTTATTTCCCTTTAATTCTCAGGGTATAACATCAAGGATCTAATTCAAGAAGCACAATCCCGGTGGCTAAGGCCAGGAGAGGTGCTTTTTATACTGAAGAATTATCAGGAAAACCAGCTTAACCATGAGCCCCCTGAAAAGCCACCCAGTAACTTTTTTGCCTTTGTGTTGTGTTCATTTAATTGAAAAGATATGTCTTTGTAACAGTGCATTGGCTGATATTGATGTTGTCTTGTTGATTGGATTCTTCCACAGGCGGCTCTTTGTTTCTTTTTAACAAGAGGGTCCTTCGTTTTTTCCGTAAAGATGGTCATAGTTGGCGTAAGAAGAAGAATGGAAAAAATGTTGGGGAAGCACATGAACGTCTAAAGGTTTTTCCATTTTCCCTTTTGGTTTTTGCTTAGGGGTTGGATCAATTGAATTATTCTTGACGTAAGATGTTCAGATTAAAGGAATTCTTTTTAATAATCTTGGTGCAATCAGGTCCTTGTAAGCCTCTCAATATCCATGTTTACTTTGCCTGTGGCAGGCACCATAGGTGTCCTAACTCAGTATAAAACCTCTATGCTCACGAGGCTGGACCAATTTAGTCACGTTTTCATGTTCCAATTGAACACTTTCCGTTTTTGATTATTCTCAAAGGAGAAGATTATTCTCTTTACCATTTTGATAAAGTTTCGACTTGCTAGTTTATAACAGCTTCTCTGATAATTGTTTTTAAGAGCTTTGGTGTCATTCACTGTGTTGCATGGAATTCTATACATAAAAGTTTATACTCCCCTTAATGTTGAACTAACAGACCTATTTGATAACCAAACCAAACAAATCCAATATATCCCACTTAAAAGCACGGTTGGGGGCATGGGATCTACACCCGACCTGCCTTCTATCCCAAATGGTAGAGCGGCTGTTTCCGTGAAAAAGTGTAAGCGAAAATGTTTTAACAAAGACTTGTAAATAGTAAGCAACAAAAAACAATAAAAAGGTAAGTATAATGGAACATAGAAAAAGTAAGGAAAGCTGCACAACCCTTTGTCTATCAGACCGATTATTGACGTCATCCAGTTTTGAAAGAGAATAGAAATCGAATAATCACACGACATTATGCTTTCCTCTATTTCCCTATGTCAACATAATTATGTCTTCCTTCAATTTCCTATAGTTTTCCTTACTTTTACCGATGTTGCAACTCTTCTCTATAGGTCGGAAATGTTGAAGCTTTAAATTGTTACTATGCACACGGCGATCAGAATCCAAATTTCCAGAGGCGTAGTTATTGGATGTTGGATTTGTAAGTAGAATTCATCTCCTCTTCACATATGCTCTTTTCTATGCTTTAATTTACAGCTAGCAGATTAATAATATGACCAATTTGGCATTCAAAGTTCTATTTTATATTTATTCATACACAATTTCTGTAGACTTACATTTCTTGATTTTCTGGTGGCAGGGCAATGGAGCATATTGTACTTGTTCATTACAGAGATATAACCATAGTAAGTCTTATGGAGCTTATCAAAAATTGAAGTTCTGGCAAATGAGATTCGCCAGTTATGGATACCTATTCTTTTATATGCCATCAAGTAAAATATATGTATTTCTGTTGACTTGCATGTTGATACCCTTTTGTTCAGATTGATGTTTGTTTCTATGCCCAAAAAGAGACTAGAATGTACCTTGCACATGATAGCATGATAGTCTCGTGGACTTAATCAACCCCATACTAACTTGTGTAGGCTGAAACAACATGTTCCGATGTATGTAGTCAGTTGTCTTCACCACATGTATATATTCTCTTTTATCTTTCTTTAAAACGGTAAATAAATGTGTCAATATCTATCCAATAACCAAAATGTAATGACTTGTGTAGCCTGAAATAACATGTTCCAATGTATGTAGTTGGTTGTCTTCACCACATGTATATTTTCTTTTCAAACTTTTTTAAAACGGTGATAAACCAAAATATCTATCCAATAACCACAAGGTAATAACTGTTATTGAGTACAAAAAGTTTGGAGATATATCTCTAAGCATTTCCTCTTTGTGCATGTTCTCAGCCTGCGATGTTCTTTAAAGCCATTTGAGCTTGATGAAAATTTGACCAGGATTTTAAATATCATGTTTTCTAACCGCTTCATATCTATATTATTTCAAATAAAAATTTCTCTCCTGTCGGTTATTTGTTATGATTGATATTGAAATAAAAGGAAATGAAGGTTATATTTTGTATCGAGCTTCTATAAAATGGAAGTAGCATTCATATTTTGCAGGGTAAGTATAGTGCTGGTCCTGCTGGACCCACCTTGGGATCTTCTAATATCATTCAGGATTCCAACTCCTATGCCAATCAGCCTCTTTTGTCTGCTGATGCTAGTGCATTTGGTGGACCTTACAACAGCATTTCTGGTCCCAGTCCTGTAGAAATCAGTCCAGATGTTGTTACCAAGTCCAATGGGGCAAGCTGCTTGAATCTAACAGAACAAATTGAAGAAATTGATGGTTCGCCTGATTTCCAAATTTATCAGGCATTGAAAAGGATGGAAGACAAGTGGAGCTTGGACCACCCGAAGGATACTGGCTCATTCTTTAGCAAGAATGAACATCCAAATGAATTAGGATTCACAATTAATGAACAAAGTTATAGTGGATCTGAAGGATTGCAATATGGTTCAGATGATTATGTGTCTCTACAATATTCAGGTTTGTCTCCTTTCTATGTTTCTCATAATCATTAAAGCATATACTTATATCATGCATCTCATTTATGTGAACTGTATAGCTAATTATATAAAGCCGTGGTGTGAAAGGGCATGTACTAGGTTGGGTGAAGCTTTTTGTATAAATTTAATGTATGATGGAGCTTTCACATGTTAATCAATAATGTCATGCACGTTCTAAGCAATTAACTGAACCTATGATGTCATTTCAACTGAAAAGTTCAGTATAGTAAGAGGACTAATTTATCATAATGGAATCTTTCTGGAAGGTCGAACAATCAAGTATAGCATGAGGAACACATCTATTTACCACATATGGGTTTAATGTCCTACCCTAGTTTTACTATTTTCTTATTACATTCTCTTTTTTGCTGGATGTCAACCATGATAGGTCTAGATAAAGCTCAAGAGCAGCTAAGCACACCGAAAACTGGTGCAACTGACTATGGGAGACTACATCAATACCATCAGCTACCCAAAGAATTTACTATTCCAAGTCAACAAACTTTAATTTGGGAGGACATGCAAAAATACGATAAGAGTGCATCATGTGATGATTTACTAGAGAATTATCTATACCCATCAGATAAAAATGTAAGCTTATTTTGATTGTCTACTTTGAAAAATGGCCCCTGTTTTTCTGCTTCAAATGTATTAATTTTTGTGTAATATGATGCAACATGGTCTAATGATGGTTCATTTTTATCATGTTGCTGACTAAATAGTCCTTCTAATCCCTTGCTTGTTATTTTTATGGTAATTTAATTCCCCTTATTTGCGTATGATTCAATTTTATGTTGTACTTCAAACAGGAAGTGCTTTTGCCTCGACTAAGAAGTGATCCAGTAGAAGAGCAAGGGAAGTACCATTCTGGAGATACTGGTCATAGTAATGGCTGTAAGTCTATTGTTTCTTTTCTAATTGGAGGGATTTTAAAATGTTAAACCGACCTTACACAACTGTGGAGCTAGGGCTTTAGTCTGTAGATAAGCAGTTTTACCAGGGGCCGGCTTTTGACGCCCTCCAGAACCATGGGAGTACCTGATTTGGTATTTGTTTGTATGTACTACCCACAAAATTAAATGAGCTATGTTCCTACTTGGCTCAACTGGACTCGAATAAAACATGTTTATTTAAAAAATTGAAATTATTGGCCCCCAAGGAATTGAACTCGAAACCTATATTTGTATTTTGTACCCATGGAAAATACCCAACTTGGCTTAGTAAAACCCATTTAGAACTCTAGCATTACTATTTATATTTAAATCGAGCCTGGCTTGCCAAAACCCGACTCTGCCCGGATTGTTTACAGTGTACCTGAAATAATGAACCTCTAACAACTATATTGTATTTGCAGCATCCATATTGCTGTCTCAAGAACTTGAAGACTCAACATTTCCTTCATACACCCCTCCAAGAAATATGTACCAAAGTGATCCAGACTTATACTCAACGTTGTTTGACCAAGGACAGACTAGAACACTGCTTGCATCAGGTTCCACTTTAACCATTGCTCAAGAGCAGAAATTTACTATTCGTGTGATATCCCCAGAGTGGGGCTACACGACTGAGCCAACAAAGGTAAATTAATTGAAGTTATATAAGAATATCTTCTTGTGTTGTAATTGATCCTTTATGATGGCTGCAAATATTACTCAGATTATCCTTGTCATGTTTGCCCATAGTTATCGTTATAAACGAATTCTGTAATACGGCAATCAAAAATATAATATTTCAATGTCGGTTAAATTATAAGGTAATGGTTTCACATGGTAGACAAGAGCATATCTGTTTGACGTCATGGGATTCTTTATTTGGGGAGCCAGTTTGATATACTTCCTGAAATGCATTTGGATGTTATTACGGCTGAGGGCAGAAGCGTTGCTTGTTTTCATGATACATAATTACATATAACACAAATTCATAATGGATTTCAATAGTCTCTCTCCTCAACCCAACCCACTTGATACGCACTCCCTGATTTCCTTATAACTCCACCATACACGAAATTAGAGCTGTTGGGGGTAGAAAAAGGAGTGTAATGGATTAATGTTCAAAAAGAAATTGGAAAAGCAGTTTGGCGGTTATACAAGCTTTTTGAATATTCGCATATTTCTTGCTGCAGGTACTTATAGTTGGGTCTTTTACTTGTGATCCGTCAAATCGTGCATGGGTTTGTATGTTTGGTGACACTGAAGTTCCTGTTGAGATTATTCAGGAGGGAGTCATCTGTTGCCAGGCTCCACTTCATTCGCCTGGAAAAGTTACTATTTGTATTACATCTGGCAATCGAGAGGCTTGTAGTGAGGTCAGGGAGTTTGAGTATCGTGATAAGCAAAGCATGTATGTGCGTACTAACTTAACAGAGAATGAATCAAGTAGGAGCTCCAAGGAATTGTCATTACTTGTCAAATTTGTGCAGATGCTACTATCTGATCAAGTTGGGCAAAATGGAAAAAGTGTCGGAATTGATCTTCTGGAAAGTTCAATGGCTGGTGAAGAATCATGGGCTCAAGTCATTGAGGCTCTTTCAGATGGCCATCTAGCATCATCTAAAACTTCAGATTGGCTCCTGGAAGAACTTCTAAAAGACAAGTTGCAATGGTGGCTTTCCTCTAAATTGCAGGATAAGAATGCCCTTCCTGCCTTGTCCAAAAAAGAACAAGGGATAATACACATGGTTTCCGGATTGGGCTTTGTGTGGGCATTAACACCTATACTTAAATCTGGAGTTGGCATAAATTACCGTGATATTAAGGGTTGGACTGCTCTCCATTGGGCTGCACGTTTTGGAAGGTAAATCAAAGTTGTATGTTTATGGTCTACTTATCTTCTGTGATGCAATCAAATAATATTTAGATACTCTATAAGCAAGAACTCCCCAAATAGTATAATGAACATCTTGAATCAATTTATTTAGGGGCTGTTTACCAAGCGCTTACACCCTCACTTACCTTATCGGGTGACATTCTCGGCCATTAAAATGGATTGTTTGTAAATGCATTTTACCCGGTAAGCGCTTACCGGTGAGATACTTTTCCCTCAATTACCGGGTAAGATTCTTGGTCCTTTTAATGATCTTACCAGGTAAGATTTTCTGTACTTGTCATGTACACTCGATAAGGTAAGGGACACCCGGTAAGCGCTTACCAGGTAAGCGTTTGGTAAACAGCCTCTTAGATTACATTTCCAAATCAGGATGTCAATATGAGAATAGAACATCTAATTCACTGTGAAACCATATGAGCATTCCATCATATGCATTTTATATTTATGGTCTACTTATCTTCTGTCGCATCTAGATGCTTGAGTTGGATTAATTAGACAAAAGTGTGTCAATGATAGGTTGCATAATGATTTTTAGCGACTTTATTATTGTTTCTTTTTCGCATCCTTTCCCATAGCCATTGGGTCATAAAAACTCTTAACATGAATAGTTAACATATGATCATGCGGGTTCTCTCTGTTGCATGAACACTCATGTTTTTAACCCCCTGGATTTTCTAGTTATGTCAGCAGCTTTTTTTCATTTGGTACATTATGATGTTGATCCAATGATCAGTTTTAATGTTTTGGTACTCTTGTCGAGATTACTCTCTGCTACTTGGGGTTTATGTATTAAAGTCTACCGAGACTGCAGATAGAGTCTTAGGAGCTGTTTGGTATTGTCTGAATGGGCTTAACGGCCGATATGGCTTATTCGGTAAGCCATACAGGAGTGTTTGGTTGTGGGAGTTCAGAAGATGGCAATTGAATAGGATTGGGATTTTGTCATTGTATGAATCTTCGGATATGGTTTTGCAATCTATAAGAACTAGTATAGTTCTGTTTAAATGCAATCCAAAGCACTGTTGATATGATTCTGTCATTATATAAGGAGTAGTAGTTTTCGGGTAGGGATTAGTAAGCACTTAAGGAACTTGTTTGGTGGTCGTCATCAAGCCATAATGAACATTCATTAATGGGTACAACATGAGTTCAATGAAAGAAAGAAAAAGTAGGGTTAAAATCATTTATATCATTCAGACAGTTCATTGAGCACCACAAACAAACAACAATTTAGCTTGATTCACACAGGCAGCTTAATCCATACAGGGCGTAGAGGCTGTTTGGTTGGTTGGGAGACCCCGGAATGATGTATGAAAGAGACTCTTAAAGCTMTCCTATCAAAATGAAAAGCAGCAACCTGAACTTAAATTGAAGAAGCGAGCCTCTATCTAAATCATGTATGGATAAAGTTGTCTGTGTGGATTAATCTGTCTGTAGAGATGGAGGTTTTTGTTTGGGGTGTTTTTTCATAGATGAAAGGAGTGTGTGTTTTTATTGGAAGAGGTAGGTTTGGAAAAAACTTCGCTTTCTGCATAAAGCTCCTCCCCCGAATAGCTTACTGAATAAGTCACTTTCTATATCATTAAGCCACTACCAAACAGTCATGTATAGCTGACCGAATAAGCTGTGAGTCCCATTAAGCTCATTAAGATGCTAACAAACATTCCCTTAATGGAAAAACAACCAAACAACCCCTTGATGTTTGTTTGTGTATGTGAGTTGATTGCTGTTACTCTAATGTAACAGGGAAAAGATGGTAGCTGAACTCGTAGCTTCTGGTGCATATGCTGGAGCAGTTACAGATCCCAGTGAACAAGAGCCAACTGGAAAAACCCCAGCATCTTTAGCTGCCGGATACGGACACAAAGGGCTCGCAGGTTATCTCTCGGAGGTGGCACTAACTAGCCATCTTTCATCCCTCACGCTGAAAGAAAGTGAACTATCCAAATGTTCTGCTGATGTTGAAGCCGAAAGAACAGTAAATAGCATCTCGAACTCAAATCTCATTGTAAACGAGGATCATCTGTCTCTCAAGGACATGTTTGCCGCTGTGAGGAATGCAGCTCAAGCTGCTTCGCGTATACAAGCTGCTTTCCGTGCACATTCTTTCAAGAAGAGGAAACAGGAGGCTGCTGCATATGCTAGGGGAGATGGGTACGAAATCCTTCCAAGTGACATTGAAAGTCTTTCAGCAGCATCAAAATTGGCTTTCGGAAATGCACGCCATCATAGTGCTGCATTATCTATCCAGAAGAAATATCGAGGTTGGAAAAGTCGAAAGAATTTCCTTGACCTCCGCCAGAAAGTAGTGAAGATACAGGTTAGCTCCCCTCCCCCCTTCAAACACCCATACATACACTAAGCACCTGTGTCCTCGTAGAGGGGTTATTTAGGAGTATAACCTTATGACAAATTTCTTTTAAATGCATGACTATCAGAATAATGCATATTTCTAACACAAGAAAGTAACAAAATGTATCAGGAGGTCATGCATTTTAAAAACTATCATGGTTATTCTCCAAAATAACCCCCTGGTAGAGGGGCCATCACGACACGTTATTTACTCACACCGGTTACTTACGGCCCGTTTACCCAAACACTTATCTAGTAAGAGTCAACATTCTAATTTAATTTATTGGGTAAGATTGTAGTTCACCAAAACAGTATCGTTTGCAACCAACCAAACATCACTCTTACCGGGTAAGATCTTTCCCTTTGCCATGTTCATCCGGTAAGGTAAATGACCCGGTAAGCGTGTGTATCGGATAAGCCTTTGGTAAACAGCCCCTTAGGATAATAATTGTTTGACAGAAAATTTAAAATTGAATGGCCTTCTAACAAATTCTGCGTCTGTTTTACCAAGAGTCATTCTTCTGTTGAGAGGCATTTTCAAATCAGTCATCACGCATCTAAAAGAATATATCAAAATAACCCCAATCATGGCTTGTAATTTGGAGGTAGAAGGTGCCAAGGTGGTTATTCTAAAGATATTCACCAAACTAACCAACAATTTCGCAAATATGCTTAGAAATTTGTTGAATCACCTATTTTTTTAGTCAGATGGTGGGCCATAATATCAGTCGAAAAGCACCATTTTTTATTTTTTGCGAAGGCTTGCACATTTGCGAAATTACTGGCTACTTCTTGATAATGTTCAAAAACTGCTATTTCATGGAAAATCGTTTTTAGAAAAAATGGCTAGTTTGGTGAAAAACTCTTAATGTTATTGCAATCATACTTTCTGCTTTCTAATTCACTTACGTTGATCATCACATGCTTAGTTCAAATCCTTGATTTATATATCGGTAATAAAGGCAGGGAGAAACCCAGTTAAGGGCCTATGATGGCACGTGCCACCGGATAATCCCTCCGTTGTAAGGCAAAAAATATTAGGTTCATGAAAGGTAAAACCGTATTGTTTTAGAAAGTGCAACCATTTTATATAGTGCCATCATATGGAAAAATTCTTGGGTCTGTCCCTGAATAATTAAGGGATCTTATATTTCCTTCTTGTTCTTCTCATTTTTCTTCTATCATCGGCAGGCTCATGTAAGAGGTCATCAGGCAAGAAAAAACTATGAAGCTATCTGCTGGGCTGTTGGTATAGTTGAGAAAATCGTCTTGAGGTGGTACCGGAAAGGAGTTGGTTTACGAGGATTCCATCTGGATTCCATTGATGAAAATGGAGATGAAGACATTATCAAGGTATTTCGGAAGCAGAATGTGGATGTTGCTCTAAGTGAAGCCGTCTCCAGGGTGCTGTCTATGGTGAACTCTCCACCTGCCAGGCGGCAATACGGTCGCATGCTTCAAAAGTATCAACAAGCCAAGGTCAGTGACCTTCATTTCATTCATTCCAATTCATGTTTCTGAAAAAGGTTATTTTCTTAATTAACATCTCATATAGGCATGAATTCCACAATATTTGTTATTATAACCATTTGAGAGGAGAGGAAAGGAGAATGCACAAGAAGTTTTTGGATGTTCCAAAATAAATGCACCATTTATTCGTTTACAAATCTAACTTGTTTTTTCATTTATTATTTTATCATTGTCTTTCTTGTTTTCAAATTCTTATCTTCTTTTTCTCTAATTTTTTGCACACTATACACAAGCCAGAGGTTACATCTCACCTCCTCCAAACCCCACCTTCAATTGGGATATATTGGTCTTGTTAAGTTTGGTTATTCATTTACATATCTTTAAATCCAATATCCCCTATTTGACCCAACTTTTAGTATTGATTTGATTCACGCAATTCATCTATGTTTTTCTATATTGAATTGGCATCAACGGGTATTTCAGACATGTATGTGGTGATTGCTAAATATATTAGCAATTATGATAAAAGAATGGTACGTTTGATGTGTGTTAGTGTTACTGTCTTAGATATTCACCTAATTCTCAAATGTACATTATTTACGACGGCAAAGGGAGTAATATGATAGAACAGTGGTAACCATGTGGGGTTAGCTTAACTGGCCATAAAACGTGCGCTTTTGAAGGTCACCAGTTCGAGTCCTGGGGATTATCCTTGTTGTTCTCCAAGGCCCTTGGGATTAGTCGAGGTGCACGCAAGCTAGTCCGGACACTCGCAGTTAAGAAAAAATGATAGAACACTAGTGGAGATTTAAGAACCATGTGAATTATGTTCGAAAAGTATGCTCCTTTCTTTTAGAAAAAGAAACCAAAGTAAAAGCACATATCCAACAGTTACTTGTTTTTCAAGTGCAATATTTGAGACCTGAATCCTCATAATAAATATATGCATATTTGTTCTTTGATTACCATGGTGAATCATGTGACTAATACAGTATACGGGTTGGTTACCAAACGGTTACCGGGTAAGAGTCATGGCCCTCACTTACCTTACCGGGTTAGGTAAGATTGTTGGTGAACTCTAAGAGGGTAAGAGTCACCACCTTAAGAGGGTAAGAGTCACCACCTTCACTTAAAGGGTTAGAGTGTCGGTCCTTTCCATGCTCACTTGGTAAGGCAAGTGATCAGGTAAGCATTTAGTAAACGGCTCCATAGTGTCCTGCCTTTTGTGCTTTTCACTGTTGCTTCTCCAGAGAAATCCAAACGTGTTTACTTCACGTTCATGAAACCTGAATTTAAAACTTGGGGAACTTTTGCAGGCTGAACGAGGAGGAGGGTTGGAAAGTGAAGGAGCCTCAACGTCTCAAGATATGGAGACTGAAGACCTGTACGATGAATGGTTGATTAGTTGATAAATGGTAAAAGATAGTCAGGCCTGGTGGGTGAGTTTGTTGTGTGTATATAATTATATATAGTTAAACATGTGGTCCAAATGTGGACGTGAGATTGGATTTTAGTTGTAAACCTCTGTAAGTAAAACCAGCGATAAATGGGTTCCCTTCTCTCACCCAACTTTAGGCACAACAGAGAATCGTCCAACATTTTCTGCTTCTTTTTCTATTTCTCTTTACTTTGCTTTCTGAAATGGGAAGAAAGCATCTTGCAATGCTACATTTTCAGGGAGCTGTTGTTCTTAAATCCTAAAGTAAATAATAATCCTCAATTTTTAAAGATGTGCAGAAGTGAATAGAAAATTATTTAACAAAAACATTAAACATTTTGATTAAATCATTAACATTATCGATTCATAAGATTTTTTCTCCTATCCAACAACTTTATATATGTGATCCATGATATAATATTTTTATCAACTCCATTTTAAATCTAACTTTTTAGATGGACTTCATTTTTGTTTGTTTTGTGAATATTACATCATTTGTATTAGACAAATTCATGAAAGAAGTCCGTGGCATTGGCAGCACTTCTATCAAATTGGAGTATAAATAACATTCACAATGTTATTAATTATGATATTAACTTTATAAAAAAAAACCTATTTTTTCTAAAATCTTAATCATATTAATTAAAAGGGTTAAAAACAACTGATGGAAAATATATTAATTATTCGAACTAAACAACTGATGGAAAATATATTAATTATTCGAACTGTTCTTTACAATTTAAAATCATGTAATTTAACAAAAAAATGTGTAATCTTATAACTAAGGGGTTGTTTACTTACTGTTTAATGAGCTCAATGGTCTAGATAACTTATTCCTTTGTATTATTTTACGACTTAATCGTTAACCCATCAAGTCAAAATGGTCATATAGAACAAGGACCCTTCAGTTGTCACTATTTAACTCACCTCAAACAAATTAATACCATAAATGTCTAAAAAATAATCTAACTCTTCTTCTCTCTTTGCCTCCCTCAAACCCATGAGCCTCCCATTCTTCAAACATACAAATTTATCTAGACAAACAACTTAAGCCATACAAGACTTAAATTTCTCATTAAGTCATGTATGGGTTAAGTTTACTGTTCGAATAAATTTGTTTGTTAGTATAAAAATGTGTTAATTATTTCCTTTTTGTCTAGAAGCGACGATCTAAGCAATAGAAATAACCATTTTACCCCTCAATATGAATTAGAAAATGTTTAATAAATTGTTAGTTATTTTTTAGGATGAAAATGTAATATAATTTGTTCAAATTCTTATTTAGGTAATATATTTTTAAAACATTCATTTTAGTATTTGAGAGGTTTAACAATTAATCAGTCAAAATGCTCTGATATGAAGAGTGTACAACCCGATGTATATTTGATGATATGGATAACGAAATAGTTTTCAAATATTTTTTAATTAGATTTTTTATGATAGAAGGTAAAATGATAAACCCTAACCAATATTTGATATCTTATTCCAGCAGTCGCCATCAGTATCACCCTTGCCCATTCCCCTTACATTTCCATCCCCATGGACTCCGTTGAACTCCCCTAACCAGCGCCACCACCGTCTGCATACAACATTTTTTCATGGCGTATACTTCATCTTCAATGAACATCCATCCAAATCCATCTTGATTACACGTCGAGTAAGGAGTTGGGGACGACACAGAGGCTCAATTAATGATGGATGATATGCATAAAAAAACATTCGGTTTCTGAGTTTTTAGGTTTTCAAAGTAATCGACGCAGTAGCGATTAGTGACAGTATGCATACATGTGATGATAAATTGGATTGTTAATTGTTCTAACCTCACTAAACTTCACTTCTCTTCCACGAGACACCACCGAGATCGAGATAGACTGGAAACTTGAATAGCGACACCAATGAGACCAAGCCATACCCCGCCGACGATGGTGATCGGAGACGGAGGCCGGAGATGATGCCCGAGATGGATGGTTGTTGACTTGTTATCTACTTGTCTTCATCATCTCTACTTTGTGTAAATCTATATGAAAAAGTCTAAAAAAATCAATGGACAATTTTTTGGAATAAATAAATTTTTGGATATTTCAAAACATGTTAAATAATTTTTTGGACAATTTTTTGGAATAAATAAGTCTTTGGACAATTTAAAACATGTTAAATAACTTTTTGGACAATTTTTTGGAACAAATAAATCCTTGGACAATTTAAAGCATGTTAAATAACTCATTGGACAATTTTTGGAACAAATAAGGCCTTGGACAATCCAAAACACGTTAATTAACTCCTTGGACTTTTCTAAAATCTATTGGATACATTCTTATGACTTGTACAACTAGTTAAAGTGGTAAAATAGTGACAAAAGTAAAAAAAAAACCTCAATGAACATTCATATTTTAAACGATTAAGTCCCTAAATATTTTTTGAACCAAAAAGTATTTAAATCTACAAAATTAAACAAATATAACAAAAAAGTATTTACATTTACAAAAAAAATAATTAAATTAAAAAAAAATTTAACAAAATTTATTTTAATTAAAATAAAAATATATTTCTATCAGTAATTTT